ATAAAAATTTGTCATACATTTATTTTCAGTTTGTAAATATTTCAAAATGGTTTGCAAACAGATAACGATGACGACCGTGAAGAGAGAGAGAGAGAGAGAGAGAGAGAGAGAGAGAGAGAGAGAGAAAGAGAGAGAGAGAGAGAGAGAGAGAGAGAGAGAGAGAGAGAGAGAGATATGCGGAGCACCGCAGGCAAACACGCAATGTACTTTAACGCTTCTGTTTCTAGCGTGTACAAGGCACCACGTGTTAATGATGTATGAAACAGGCAGTTAGTAATTCATAATGACGTGGAAGTAAGCGGGCAGTACATAGCAGTATCGCGTAGCAAATTTAGTAGTAAACACGCACATTGATGTGCGCGAACAAACAAAACAGACTACACAAGTATATTAGCACGGAACATGATCAGAAATGACGTCACGATATGAAGCAGTTGTCAAACTTATTAACATTCAAGACGGTGACACATGTGGACGAATTTATGCAAATACAAACAAATACGATTTTCAGCTTTCATTTTGGGCATTGATTTTTAAATAATGTTCTTCTTTTCTCTCGTCATCACGTTTTTAAAGTTTCCATTTTAAATTGAACCCTACCATACGCTGTTATAATTTCATATTCATCTTCATTTCTTCAATTAATTAACTAACTACCTTGCATTGTGCCAGCCTCTGTCTGCATGGAAAAGTTCACATACGCACAATTAGACAAATATTTTAAAGTTGACGACTAATTTCTTCCGCAAAAAATCTTGTTTCAACAAATGGCATCTCAGAAGGAAGACAGGAAAAAGTTGAGAAGACGTCGGAAGATGTGGCTGATTAATATTCAGGAAGCAGAAGCACCGCATTATGCTTCATCAAGACAACAAGATTCTTGCTCATTCCAGCAACTAGTCTCACTTGCTCTTCTTCAGCAGGTTCTCCGATTTCCTTCAAATGTAAACTTACCACTGCCTGACTGAGAAAATATTTTTGAATGAATATCAACCAAGTGTACCTACCCTAACTCTTCGTAAACCAAACTTATCACTTTCTACTGGTTTCTATTTGAGAAAAACAAAATGACTTAAAAAGTGAATTATTAAATTATTGCAATTATTTCTATTAGGCTTCGTTCAATTGGCGGGTAAATGAATTGTTATTATTTGTATTATTGACGTAATGATGTTAAAACCATGTTGATCGTTTGCAATTAATTTCAAATGAAGAATTAATGGATGACTGCAGACCACTGGAACTGAATGAAGTCATTTGATTGAACGTCGGCAGGAAACTCTCGCCTGATTAAATAAAACTAATTACGTCATCAAATTCATTTCATTTCGACAACTGCGGTTCATTCACTGAAATTTTAACATTCATGCGAAGAGTGAAAATGTTGAACGCATTTTTTGTAAACACCGAATAGGCAACTATAAATGGAAAGATTAAAAAAATATCTTGAAAAAACGGATAAATAATTCAGATGAAGTTTGACATTGAAAGAGTTGAACACTCGAATTTAAATTCCAAACGCGGCATTTTGAGACAAAAATTGCACCCGTCTTTTAAATCTGAATGCAGATGTTATCAGGACACCATCTTCCTTCTCCACCACCATTCAATCATTCCAGCAATAAACAACACACGCTCAAACGCCAACACACACACGCACACTTTACTCGGAACTTTACACGCACACATCTACTCTAACACACACACTTATCTAATCACTCAATACACATATGATGCACCCATGAATTAAATGAACGCTTAAACAAACACACGTGCATTCATTCTCTCAGTACACACTCCCTCACTCGTGCCGCATGCATTGTTTAGCGAGTTTAAACTTTGCATGATATCATGATATGGCATCGCGTCGTTGGAGGCAGGCAAACAGACAGACAGGCAGAGAGACAGCAGACAGACATGTTTGCCGTGGAGTGCCTCTTACGAGTATAAGATTTGTTCTAACTTGAGTGATGAGTCCACACTCGGCGCATGCAATATAATAAGCACACCAGCTCATGAACTGATAAATTTCAATCAAACGAGATTTCATCTCCCTTTATACATTTCTATGAGAGCACAAATAACAATGGGTAATTATATTTGTTACCTCCGACAATTTATTTCCTACGAGTTTTATTAATATTTGTTATTAAGCGTTATACAATTTTCACGCGGCTGTTTGCAAATGCTTTTTCAGCGATGAAAAATGCAGAACATCGTGACAAATAACGAAGAGGCAGGGTCCGTCAATAACCCACAACCTCATAAACCATCCTTCATTTCTGGCACATCCCTTTTTTTTTTAACTGTGAACAATATTTTTGCGAAAACCGCGGAAAATATAAGTGATCGATCGATTCAATAAATAATTAATAATAAAAACAATGATAACAGTACTGCCAACGTGAAGGCAATGGCATCTGTGATATTTGTTCAACACACCTCGCGACTGTTTAGCAGTAAATAACAACAACAACAAATAAAATGACAAAGTATAAATAATTTTGTTGTGTCCAATCCACACAACCAGCCTCATGTCATTTTCAGAATCGCAGCAGGGCACATGTTACGTCGGGTACAAACAAATGATTGGCATGCTTTTTGATTATTGTCGGTGAGGTGGTGTAATGGTTAAGGCAGCTGGTCACGATGCTGCAGTCACTGGGTTCGAATGCATACAAATCTCGCCTATCACATGCAGTGGCGGATCCAGACGAGGGCAGGGCACCCGCTGCGAGCAGATTTGTAAAAAAAGCAAGAAAAAGGGCCGTTTTAGGAAGAATATCGAATCGACCAAAAATTGAACGTGATATTAAAAAAATGGTCGTCAGCCACGCAAACACAAATTTTGGTTTCCAACCGTGAAAATTTTGACTCCCACGTAAAAATTAGACCATTTTCAAAATTCTGCCCCCTCCCCGTCAAAGTTGTCTTGATCGGCCACTGATCACATGCAATGTGTACATATGCGCTGATTCGCATCTGTTGACAACTCTGAACGTTAATTAAGAGAGAATTTTTAATGATTATACTGTATTAATAATAATAGTAGTAGTAGTAGTAGTAATAATAATAATAATTATTATTTTTGTTGCCAGGGCGTTTCTAATCAAACTATCGAATAAGACACATTAACAAATTTAAAGAACCCTCCTTTTTATTAAAATTTGTTTAATTGTCGTTAAAATATATTATTTACATTTATTATCTACATTGATTATTTCGTTTCACTTCATTTATTTAGTAATTCATTTAATTCCTGCATCGTCATCAAATAATTTTACCAGCCTCGTTTTGTAAATATTTGAAATATATTCGCGAAAACATTTTAGTAAAAAATCACCACACTTTTCGATTTCACGTTTTTTTTATAACATTTTACTAAATAAAGAAAGCCCGCTCAGTCAATTATTCAACTAAAAATGAACAAAATTTGATTGGTTAATTAAATGGAGTTTAAATTTACTTTAATTAATAGGATAGGCTTGTTGGATGGCTTCTACCAAAATGGACCTAACCCGTGAAGTTCAAATTATTTTTATGAGAAACAACAAATTTTAAAATTACTATGTTAATGTTAATATTAAAAGTTTAGTTGCCGAATGTTCGCTCATTGTTTTGTTGCATTGTATGTGCTCTACTCTGTGAGACAAAAATAAAGTTTAATTAATAAAATGTAAAAGCTGGCACAAAGAGCCTGAATGTTGTGTTGACGCATCGCTACGAACATTAAAAACCAGAAGACCAGGTAATGAACATTTCTTGTCATCTTTTCTCAAATAAATTTAAAATCTTATATACCTATTTGACATTTGCAATGGTAATAATAAAATTATTAATAACAACAACAACAGTAATATTAACAATAATATTAACGATAATAATAAAAAATATGCTATTACTTTTCATCATTATTCATTCACTGCTATCTTGCACCTTAAAAGCAGTTTAAAAAATTGTACTTGCTTACACCTGCTTCATCTGAAGTGCGATGTTGTTTCAGTTTCTTCATTCCAGTAAACTCTTTCAGGCGTGAATATTTCGATAGCATAGTTCAAATAATAAAAACCTCGGCAAATAAGTCTTCATCAAATAAAATTCGTTGATTTCATGCTAAAACATTTTAGTAAAAAAACACCACATTTACCGATTTCTTTTAAACATTAAGATGGAAATTAAGAGGGAAACAGTTTGATAGGAAATCCAATAAAAGTTATACAAGAGCCGGTGTAAAGAACTTTGACAGGGTGACCAGGATTTTCGAAAATTAACGGGGGAAGAGAACTTTCGACACACATTTGTTGACCAGGGGGAAGGGAAAATTTTTAAATAAAAATTTCACAAATTACTTGACGATCGCCGAAGGATTTTCAACAAAAGTTGAGTTGATAATTGAGGGGATATTTTCACAAATTTGTTTGGAAAATTTTTCAGTGCGTACGGGGGGCCAACTTTTCTGGTAATGGGCTTATAATGTCAATTTTTCTTCCTAAACAGTATTTCTTTCGTTTAAACAACGACTTTTACAAACTTTTAACCCAAATAACGATAAAAACGGGGCCCTCGACCTCCTCTTGATCCTCCACCAAGTATATATATATATATATATATATATATAATATATATATATATATATGTATATATATATATATATATATATATAGGAAAGGTTTCAGTAAACAATGAAATTTTCAGTTAGCACCTATGATTTGAGCATTTATGATTCAGTAGGGAAAGTTTTAAATTTGCCATATAAACATCTACATTATTGATGGCTGCTCTATGTCTGCCTTGTCTGCTTTAAATGCTACACTGGATGTGTGGATTTGTGCATGTGAGTGAGTGTGTGTTTGTGATATGTTTGCATTGATTAAAGTGCAAATTATTTTATTAAATTTAATTAAGTAAGTGATTAACTCCATAATAAGTCGACACATATCAAATTTTTTTTTTATGATCGCAACTGGGCTGAACACAACACGACGTGTGAATGATCCATAATGAAAGAATGCCCCATAAACTCCATACGGGCCGATGTATTTATCACAAACGCATGCGCAATTATAAAAGGTGAACAATCAGATGGTGCAAAATTTGATGTCAGAGTTGAAAATAACACAGGCAAGCCATTGTTAAAAATATTAATAAGTATGCTGACGTTTTATTCATGAAAAATTTAGAAATTGTAATTTAAATATCCTTTTCAAAATATTGCACTTTATAAAAAATGTGTTTTTAGAAAATATTCAAAAGCTATTAGCGTACGAGTAAGGTTCATTCAATCATCACATCACAATCATCATCATATATATCACCACCACGATCATCATCTCATTTTTAATATTGTATAACCGCTGCATCGGTCAAATTGCGCTACATTATTTGTTATCTTGATTATTCGTTATCTTTGTTATCTATGCTATATTTGTAATCTTTTGATCGTAAAAATCTACCGTAGAGGCTATATAAGATCTCGCGGAGACACAGGTCTCCAGGAGATTTGAAGCGAAGTCGTAATTGTGATTTATGTAGTAATTTGGATTAGTTTAGTGTTTCTATCACTGTTGGCATTCAAATAAACGTTCAATAAAGTTTGCGTTTGAAGCAGTCGTCTTCATCTATCGCAAATCTTGAACCTACGGAATAACGATAACTTGACGATTGTTGTAAGCTACAACACTGGTGTTGGAAATATAGAGATCCTTGAAGTTATAACGTAATAAGTACTAATTGTCATCATCGCCATCATCATTATCACCATCGCCATCATCATCAATATCATCATCGTCATCATCACCATTATCACCACCATCATCATCACCATCATTTTCAATTTTTTTGTGGCAGCTCTACTCTCCCTGTCAGACACTCTTAATTAAGAGAGCACGATGATAATGTGATTACAGAGGCGATGATAAGATGATGACTATCGCAAACAACGCTGCCAACAAAACCAATCAAATGACCATGATGACGAGTAGCATAATGACGATTATATAGATAATGATAATGATGGTGATGAACAGGGTGATGATTACATTATCCGGCACATTATACAGACATCTCGAATCAATGGATTTCCACGCAATATTATAAAATAAGGGGAAGCAGAAAGATTCAGCCCGTATTGGCTTTTATCTGAATGTTACTTATCATCGTCGTCGTCGTCATGATCACCATCATCATCGTCATCATCCCCATCATCATCTTAATCATTATCATCATTATTTTTCAACATCGTCATCATTATCGTGATTGTTGTCATCACAGTCTTCGTGATCGTTGTCTCACCAAACGATTATCTAACTTGATTGTCACCATCATCATTATCATCATCCTCCCCCTCCCTCCTCTTCATCATCATCATCACCAACGTCATCATCATCATCTAACAATTCATCCTCCCACCACACAGGGATCGGATGGGTGGTTTCAAAAAGTTTCACCACTCAATCCACCCACCTCCACCAAAACATCCTCAACATCGTTCTCGCCAAACCATATGATATTTCAAATGCCACCCATCACCTTTCAAAACGAAGTTCATCCTGTGGCAAAGTTTCCAAGAAGAATAATGTCAGAAGAGTAATGTTTTGAAACTCTATCGAGTCTGATAACCTACTCACCATCCACTTACACATCATGATGATCATCACTCATTATCCCTTCATCATCAGGATATCACCTTATATGGTGTGGAACCGCAACAATTCAAGCAAATTCAAAAGAGGAAAATGTTTTACAAAGTGAATTAAATCAACAAACTCATAACAAGTGGAATAGAAAAACATCAAGCACTTATATACACAGACACACACAGACACAAACAGAGACAGACATGCAAATATACGAAGAAAAAGAGCACCAATTCGTGTAAGTTTGCCATCTAAACATCTGAACTTGTGCGAATATAATGAAATCGCATCACATCATCATCTCCCCAGCACATCTCCACTCACAACACATCATCATCTCCCCAGCACATCTCCACTCTCAACACATCACCATCTCACCACCACCCACCAGCTCGCTTCTAGCGTAATGTCGTTATCTAGATGGCTATCTTTATGACTGTTACCGTTGTTCTGCTCATCAATTCATTTGCTAGTAACAGTGCTACTATAGTCTATGTTGTTGTTTGTGTTGTTGATTGTGTTGTTGTCTGTGTTGTTGCTTCTGTTGTTATTTATGTTGATGTCTGTGTTGTTGTCTGTGTTGTTGTATGCGTTGTTGCAGTTGCGTTATGTTTACGTTGAAGCTGTTTGTTGATTTTCGTTTATGACATAATTGAATGAGATGAATGGAGTTGTTATCGGACGTTACTTCGGAGTGTTTGTTTCTGATATCATTGCGAGTGCAGTAACTGGTGGCAGTATTCATTTTAAAATTGTTTCAACAGGAAGAATATTTCTCGTTTCAGATGGGTAGGACATCCTTGTTGTTTAATTTTCATGTTCTTGTTCACTGTTTTCTTGTTCGAGTTGCTGTTGTTTGTCGTCAACATGTTGTTTGTTGTCGACATGTTGTTGGTTGTCAACAAGTTGTTTGTTGTCGACATGTTGTTGGTTGTCAACATGTTGTTTGTTGTCGACATGTTGTTTGTTGTCAACATGCTGTTTGTTGTCAACATGTTGTTGGTTGTCAACATGTTGTTGGTTGTCAACATGTTGTTTGTCGTCAACATGTTGTTTGTTTTCAACATATTGTTTGTCGTCAACATGTTGTTTGTTGTCGACATGTTGTTGGTTGTCAACCTGTTGCTTGTTGTCAACATGTTGTTTGTTGTCGACATGTTGTTGGTTGTCAACCTGTTGCTAGTTGTCAACATGTTGTTTGTTGTCAACCTGTTGTTTTTGTCAACATGTTGTTTGTTGTCAACATGTTGTTTGTCGTCAACAGGTTGCTTGTCGTCAACAGGTTGTTTGTTTTATTGCTGTTAATGAAGATCTTCTTGGTTGTATCTTTTATTGGTAATATTGTTTTTGTCATCTATGATAATTTTGTTTTGTAAAGTTTAGGAGTATGTTTTTTGCGCTTTCAAAATGTTTAAAAAATTTAAAAAAAAAATAATTTTTCAAACAAAATTAAAAACTTCAACTTTAGCATTTAAAGAGGTGTAAATGTTAAATTTCTTGTTACGTAGATCGTTTAATTAATTGATATAATATTGAAAGACATTAAAAGAAGAGAAATAAACCAAGCAACGTTCTTGACTTGTTTATTATCCACCGGATCAACAGAAAAGGAAAAAGTGAAGTTACATACAAAGCAAAGAACATTTGGTCCAAAGAAAAATAAATGTATATTATAAATCATAATGTTTTAATATAAAACATAAAACTTAACACCTTCTCATTTTATTTAAAACATTAGATGACCTTAACCTAAATGTTCTGAAGACCCATCGCACACATCAGATTTTTTAGTCTTGGTCCTACCATTGGTTTTGTCAGAGCATGAGCAACTTGAAGTTCTGTTGCAACTCGTTCAACTGAAACTTCTTCTGCAACTTTTTCTCTGACAAAGAAATGTCTAATGTGGATGTGCTTTGTTCTTCTGTGAAGTTCTGGATTGTGTGCTAAACGAATTGCTGCTTCATTGTCGACAAAAATTTATGGCTTATTCTGGCAGTTTGATATTTTGCTATCTCATCTTTATTTGAGTCATCGTTCGATTCATCTGGAACCTTTAATTTGCCATTTACTACATCCATTGCATCAGGAATGCTGCGTAGTATTATACAAACCCTCGATTTCCAGTTCAACCAATTACTTTTGCCTTCTAGGTGTTTGATTTGCACTTTTGTTAAATCCATTTCTTTCTTGTCTTTTCAATTTGACCTTTTAATTAGAAGAAAAATATCGATTTTCAGAGAATGAAGAAGCACGTGCTTTCTCTTCACTTCAGTCTTCACAAAAGAATCTTCTGATATTTCTTTATTCTAAATTTTCTTCGTCAAATCAATTAATTAAGAAAAACGTTATCTGGGTCCCATAACCTGTTAAATTTCTTGTTACGTAGATCGTTTAATTAATTGATATAATATTGAAAGACATTAAAAGAAGAGAAATAAACCAAGCAATGTTCTCGACTTGTTTATTATCCACCGGATCAACAGAAAAAGAAAAAGTGAAGTTACATACAAAGCAAAGAACATTTGATCCAAAGAAAAATAAATGTATATTATAAATCATAATGTTTTAATATAAAACATAAAACTTAACAGTAAAAACCCGTTGAAAGAGTATTAAGCAAACATGTTAGAAGAGTTGCCCACACTCAGCTCAGTGGCAACTGGACGGGAGCCTGGTCATTTAAAAATTATTATTTTAAAGCTTTTGCCCTGACTATGAATTCATTTTACAAGTGATTTAAAATTCATGATCATTATCTTCGTCACCATCATTATCATCACCACCCCCATCATCATCATCACCACTTGCCTGGTCATTGTTTTTGTTTATATTTATTGTGGCTATCACATAACAACGTGGTGAAAATGTTTGACTGGACCAGGCAATCTTAACGATGATGAGAATGATGATGATGATGAGAATGATGATGATGATGATGAAGATGATGATGATGATGATGATGATGACAGCGATGGAGAGGATGATGACGATGATGATGATGTTGAGGACAGTGATGATTAAGGTGATATTTAAAAAAAATTTGTGATGATAATGATGATTTTAAATACTTTTGTTAAAAATTTATATATATATATATCAATAAATGGAAGGTTTGAATGAACTGTAAAAATGGTCTAAATTCATATTTAAAACCGAAAGCTTTCAAAATACAACTTAAGTCAAAATTAAATAAATTGATATTATCATTTTTTGGTGATATAAATTTGTGTAGTTTGGACGATACTAAACATAAAAAACCATGTGAGCCAATAAGTGAAGTACCTGGTAGTCGAACTGGAGTGGTGTTAGCAACAATGATTTTATTGTCCATTATAAAGATATGGGTTAGTGATAACGCTTTGTTAGCAAAGTTTTTTTTTAAACATAATAATATTATTCCAACCAAACATAAATTGTAATAGAAAAGGATGCAAAAAGCAAAGAGCCAAAATAATTAAGAAAGAATCATAAAATAATTTGGATATTAAATCCTGTCTCCAAGCAGTAAACATAAAAATGAGTAATTAATCATGACAAAAATGCAGAAATCAGCTGGCCATTATACATTTATGAGCGGCAAATAAAATAAATCTTCAACAGTTTAATGAACTTAAGATAATTATCCTTATCCTTAAATTTCCTTAAAGTTATTTGGTTAGAGGACCCGTTATTAAATTATTATTTATCATTTTAGGAGTGTTTTTAATATTCTTATTTAAGTTATGATATATGTTATTGATAACATTCCAGGTAGATTTTGGATTGCCTTTAGGTTCTTTAAAGGAATTTTCACCATGAAGTTTCTTAGCAGGCTTAATTTCATTATTTAGATTATTTTTAATTATTTTATAATAACTATAATCAGAAATAGATCGGTTTTTCTAATATTTTTTATAAAATGTGTTTTTCATTTTCATTAAGTTTGAGAGCTCGCTATTCAGCCATAGCTGAATCATATTATATACTTTTGCAATGTTAATGTGTTAATGGGCAATATCCCTGACTTCAGATAAGACACTCACAGATTCAGTAAAAGCAGCATTGATGTTTTGGATTTCATTAATATATTGCCAATGCATTGACCCATGCTGAGATATCTCTTCGAGAGTAGTTATAGAAAGAGATGAACTGTTATGCTTGAGAAGTATTTTTAGATATGTGTTGGGATAAAAAAAAACATTGGGCAGGGGTCAGATACGTCGACGAAAATTGTTTCACTGACAAATGAATTTAAATTATTTGTAAATAGATTATCGATAATGGTCTCCGAGGTACTGGCTGTTGTTGATAAGTAAAAAATAAAAGCGATCAACTTTCGTGTTTCTTAGCATCACAAAAACACTGTTGCCAACACAATTATTTTATAAAATTTTTATCGTTTCATTATTTTAAGCGACTTCACTCATTTAATCACATGATTATATTATTTGCGGAATCGAAACATGTTGTGGTCTTCAACAGAAATGTTTCTAGCACCCACATCTACAAAAATAATTCAATCATTTCGAAGTCTGTGCATTCAAATTCTGCAAAACACTTGAAAACAGAACATGACATCACATTGCTTAAACAATAAGGACATTTTTTAAAAAACAGTTTTTATAAAGATTGGCGGATAGAAATTAAGGAAGAAATCTACAAAAAAGTGAACGAACAAACGAACAAACATACGAACAATAAACAAACAGTGAATGATCTCATTGGTTGAGAGAGCGAATGAAAAACATTGTTGTATTTATAAAAACATTCTATGCAGGTTTGAATGAACGTGGACTTTTGTACTCGTTTGTATACACGTGTGTGTGTGTGTTGTGTGTTTGTGTGTGTGTGTGTGTGTGTGGGTGGGTGGGTGTAGGGATATATGTGTGTGTGTCTGCTTGTTTGTTGGTACGTGTGTTAATTTGTTTATTTCTGCAAAGATATTTTTGTGAGCATTGCATGTTTGACGGAGAAGGGTTGTCATGAGTTGCATGAGCTGAATGAGCAGATGCGTTGTTGAACTGCAGGTGCCAGCATATTGACAGCCACATTAACACTCCAACGTCTCTTCATTTTATAGACTCCAAAACAAAAAAAAATATTCCAAAAATATATAGAAACAAACAACTAAAATTCAAAATGTCTGAAAAACAAGCAGCATTTAGTCTAGATATGTAATAAAACAATGTAATTAGTTAATGAATAAATCAGTAATTAAAAGGTTAAATAAAAAAAACAAATAAAAAAGTTGAAATAGAAAATATAAATTTTTAAAAACTCAACCCTAATTTACATGGCAATAACAACAAAGCTACATGCTCTTCCTGTCACGAAGTAATTAAATTATCCATCAACCTGACAAATGTTTGAACAGTTTTTCACATTTCAATTCTGACAGAGTTGCATTTCAGAAGTTCTTCCGCCATATGTATGTTCAACTTTTTTTTTAAATGACACACACACACACACGCACACACGCACACACACACACGCACACCACACACACTCACACATACAAACACTCACAAATACACCAACATTCAATTTTTTCATTTCTCGCTGTGTGACTGCTTAAAATAAATTAATTATATCCAAATTGGTTTATAAATTGAACAAAATTTCAATTAAATTATTTTGATCTTTAATTTTGTGCAAAATCAGCTTTATAAGAATATGATAACATTATTGATGATGACGTTTTGAAAATTTGATGAGGCGTCCATTCAGGGTTCAGTTTTTAAGTTGCCTTAAAGGCAAAAAATTTTTTTGATAATCATGAGCAGAAAAAAATATAAGTACGGAGTAAGAAGGAAGTAGCTGCTGATTCATTGGAGGAGCTAATGACATTTGAGTACAAAATTAATATAACATTAGAGCATGTGTGTGTGTGTGTGTGTGCGTGGTAGGCGAAACCATTAGATTCCAAAATAAGCCTCAAGCGCTTCTCTCAAGAAGGAAGAATGGAAAAGAAAATGTTGCATTGCAAGAAGATGCGAGGCGGTTGTTGGGTCTTTCAAAACTCGCTACATTTGCTGTTAGTGCTGTATGCATTACGCGGGTCGTATTTGTTGCGGTACAAGGAGGTATGATGCGGTACTAAACATGTATTTGTGCGAGTGTATTGTTGTACGTTGGTGTTGTGCGCGATAGGTACTGTTTGAGCTTGTGTGTGT